AAATGCTACCCAAGCCTGTCAAATATCACCCAGAGGAGAAAAGGACACATCAAGAGGAAATCACTAATGCCTGTAGCTTTTTGTTTAGTCAAGCAACTGAATTCTTCTAAGATAAACATCAGCAAGACAAGCTTTGACAATTTATCCCTCACATGCTCATATTGTGCTTAGAAACTGTGCTGAAAATAAGGTAAAAGCTACAAAACCCCTCTGCACATGGTTTCAGCTTTGCAACGATAATAGTTATTAACTCCTCAGGCTATGCAGCATCTGGCAGAGCAATCCTTACCACTGCCTCACTGCTTTATATATTCAATACATGCTTCAGAACGCAAAATCTGTTATGCCCCATAGACAGACCATACACACATCTATATTGATGTTTTAAGGTATATATCCTGGCTTAAAAATGCAATTAATTCACCACTTAAAACACAAGTATGTCTCACCATTTCAATCCTCCTTCTAAATGCAGCTGCTAAGTAAGTACTTGCTGTTTAGAGAGGAGGACAGAGGAAAAAGAAAATTTTTATATGGATCAATGCATATTTCTTCAGCCAAAAAGAAATATGAAATACTTTTAAGCATGTATTTCAATGATTGTTAATTTTTATTTCTTCAATAAAATCTAGTCAGGAAATCCCTAAATGTCACACCAAAGCCTAGCTACTTCTAGGCACTTGCCTAAACACTTCTGTAGACAAATCCCTATTTTTTCTAATACAGTTTTTTCTGTATGTATGAAGTTACAGTCCAGTTGACAGACCACTGCAAGGAAGAGGAGAATAATAACAAAAGGAGGCAGTGTTTTCACATACTAAACATGTTCAAAATTTAACAGGACACTTGAGCTTGCCCCTGTTAGGTTGTCCTGGATGTGCCGAGTCACATTCAATCCTGTATGTCAAATTATGCTTAAGAAATACCCACTTCACACACACCACATTATTACTGATTCATGAATATTCAACGAAGTTGCTTTACAGCACACCATTTTTTGTGCTTCTGCAGACAGTGGTAAGTTCAGGTAATGGAGAATATGCTGAGGTATATACCTTCTGGGACTGAGCAGCTACTGATGAAAAATAGGCCATAAACCATAAAAATGTAGTGTTTAGAATAAACATTGTTCCGCTTTTCTTATTCTGCCATTTTGACTTGAAAACAGTTTCCAAAAGCATTTCCAAAACCAGTATGGAACACTATGCTGTAATCGTGTTCTGTAAACTGAAGGTCGATTGTGTTCACCACCTCTCACCCAACATGTTACATCTGTCTACACAGTTTACACTGCACACCGAGTAGCAACCTTTTTAGAAGGTGCTGCAGTGAGGAAAAACTCAGCAAACACAAACTAAAGAATTTGAAGAGATGGAGGAGTAAGAAAATCTGTAGTGTATTTCAGAAATCAGGCAGCTTTCTGCTCTCCACTTTGCTACAAGCACAGACACAAAGAAAAGAGGAAGATGGACACATTGGCCACAAAGTTCTAGTTGAAGCCAGACACAGAGTCATAGTGACAAGAGCTGGACACCCACACAGCTGAAGAACATTTCCAGATGTCATAGTAAAACCTTAGTTTGATCTGGATTTCACATTCTTCCATCACTAAACTCTGGAATACTATTGAATTCACTACATGTTTGGATCTTATATTTGAGATGGACAAAGTCTTCAAAATGGCACAGGAAAGCAAACCAGTGAAATACCTGATAATTGAAACATGGCCTGTGACTTATGCTGGTGCTGAACTTCACCTTCATAATTTTCACTTTTTTTCCCTTTTTTAGTTGCTATTATGGCCTAACTCATTCCTCTCAGTTTTCACAACTTTCCCCAACTACCAGACATCTCGCACCAGAACTTATTACTAATAAGTTAGCATTACAAAGTCCGAAGAATAGTGTTTTCAACATTACATCATAATCTAATGAAAAGGTACTGTTTTTACAGGCAAAGTCTTCCTTACCTTCTAGATTTGTTAAGCTAGATCAAAACTAGCCACATATTTAAAAATCTAATTCTATATTAAGTTATATAAATAAACCATAAGAGTTTCCATTTTCTTTCAATGAATAACAAACCATACGTTTTTCTGCCCATTAGCAATTTTACCAGACTACAGAAAAATAAAAATGCAAAATGCCCTTTGCTACTACACAGGGCTAATACATTAATATTATTTCCAGTCCATTGTAGAGCTGTTGTGTTTTCTTCTTTCATCCACACGGGGAGAAATGAGGACTGAAGAAAGCTTCCTTGCCCACCTGCACATCTCTGCAACAAGACCTGGCAGCCTTGCAAGTGTTGATGGCACTGGGTTCCCTATGGATTTCTCTGTTTATCAAAACAACCGCAGGACAAGACTGTAACTGCATGGAGCACTTCCCTCACCCAGTCAAACCAGAGAGCTATCCTAGGGCTGGGGTGGGGAGGTAATATCACTCTACACTGTGGATTTCACCAACGGTTGTTTGATCTTTAGTACTTTAAGCTCACAACTGCCAACATCATTAGCACTACTTCAGTCAGGTTCTCCTGAGACACATTTGGTGCCTACACGAAATAACTGTGGGAACAAGACCATCTCTTAGATCAAGAACTCGGAAGATGAACAGCTTTTGAAAACATGCATATAATGGTGAAGGATGATACTGTCAAACCCTCAGCCAGAGCTGGGGCTCCCCCAAGAGCCCTAAAAGCTTAGATCAGTAGGATTTTGGTGCTTGCATCCCGAGACGATGACTTCTTCAGGTTTCAGTTTTCACAGCTCCCAGTCAGCTTGCCAGACAGGCTGTTAAGAAATCAGCCAACCCATGCTTTCCTCCACTGTGGTAGAAGACTGCCAAGCGGGGGAAGGAAGTGAGCTGACAGCAAACCAGAGCACTGCCACGGTTTACAGGTTTCCATAGAACGTGTACATTTTTAATAATGACCACAAACATTTTTGCAATTAAAATACAATGGTAGAAAATATTTCATCTGATCAAATTTAATACCAGAGCTTGGCATTATGCTTTTTTAAAATGTGACAGTCAGTTAGGGTAATGTTAGGAAATGTAAGATCAGCTCTGCAATTATTTCCGTTTATACAAGTTCAGAACTGCCCACTTTTCCCACTGGCTCAGTCAGAAGTTAAATCGCTTGCAGAAATCTCCTGCAGATGTTTTCATTTTAAAAAAAAAAACAAACAACAAACAAGCCAGAGAACATCCCCAAATCCATACCAGAACATGCCTCTAACATTATAGTATAATAGTGATGCAACACATAAGTGTACCTACCTTATAGATCAAAATCAGAGAATGTGAACCTGTCACTTAACTGATGTCTAGCTAGTTCTCTAAAAAAATTAGAAAAACAGTGTGATCTACAAATATAAAAGAGTATAAAATTAAAAATATACAAATATTAAAATATTAATTGGTGTTACAAATCTAGACTCTGCATCAAATAGTGTGCCTCAAGTATAGCTTAAATTTACAAAAGGAGCTCATATTTACACTTCTGAGTATGCAGCCATTCTTTATAAGGAAAGATGTGACATATTAGGTACTACCTGAGCTGTTTATTTTCTAAGACATCCAATATCAGAATACCATAAGTCTTCAAATATTGTAGAAATACAGGAAGGGACTACAGCGATCATCAAATTGAGATGGCATTGGTGTTTGTACTAATACTTACTTTAAAGGAACAGAGGATCTGTTCCACGTAATGCATATGTTGCTCCTTAAATTCATCAGCTGCAAATCTTGACAACTAGAAAAAAAATCAAAGCACAAATACTTTCACGGTTTGCAAGACAGGTATTAAAGCCAAACACCAATGCAAACTTTTCTTGTATGGAGACACAGTGTAAGCGAACAGCTAAAATAAGACATCTGAATTCAGTTGTGCTTGCAGTCCTCTTTTTCCCATTAAAGGAATGGTTCTAATAAGTCAGTGTAAGAAATTCCTGCACTTGAAAATAGACCAGCAACAAATATATATCACTTATAAATTACACAAAGTAGTATTTCTGGAATAAAACAATGCATTCAATAACAGCTACCTGAAAGCAAAACAAAAGCATCACTTTATCCCTTATTATTCATATGATTCATTACAAGAATCACTTTCAAATTGTTACTATGTATTCTGGACTCTAGAACAGCTTGGAAGAGCAACCCCATGAAGTTAGTAACTACACAATATTTGGTAAATATAATGCCCTTTAATATACTAGGATTCTTTTCAGAACAGAACAATTTCATTGCCAAATCATGTATTCTTATGGCTAATTTAAATACATTTAACTTCAGTGATGATAATAAAACTCAGAACTGGCTTTTGGACATCAGTCTGGCACACACCTGTAGGCACACAATTGGTCCTGTCTTATGAAGCCAGGTCTCATTCCCAAATGCAGAAAAAAAAGCAAGGACAGACAAATGTATGAACAGGGCTGATACTCGACTATTGGGACCCATCTCCATGATGGCATTCATCAGTGTTCATCACATTCATCATTAACGTAACAAACACACTACATTAACTTAGCATACATTAGCATTATGTCAGAGCTTTCATCACCTAGATGGAAATTTTAATTGACCATCTTCCTTCTACTTCAGTAAATATGAAGGCATCTGTCTGCCTTTCCCTGGAGGGGAGGAAGATATAAACATATTCAATTCTTCTAATCTTACACAGTGTATTGTAGTGATGTACTTAACTTAAATTTTGTCCAAGAGGCAACAAGTGGTAGCAAATTTCTGAACTAGAATACCTTGGTTTATACTCTTCCATTTACACTGAAGAGATGTTGCCATCTGAAGTTTTGGCCAATATTCTTTTTACTAATGTCTCAGTTAGTCCCTGTTGTCTTTGACAGAGAAATATTCTCAGTATTTATCCTATTTAAGCCCCAAATATTACAATAGGTACACAGGAGGTAATCGATCAAGAGGCTATTTTCTTTGGGTTGTTGTTTTTTTTTTTACATACACACAATATGCATTGTAATTAAAGATTTTTAAAACTTTAATTTCCAAACAATCTTAAGGTAGCTTTTACTTACAGTAACCTTACTAAACTTTACCAGTGATGACACTATTAATACCACCTAATAATTCATAAACTCAGAGGAATGTTTACTTTTTAACCAACCATCTGAACAAGAGATTTGTACATTTACATGTTTTTATGTGTGTGTATTACAGGAATAGTTATAAAATACTATACTAGTATCTCCTTAATAATACATTGCTTCATAATATATCAAGAATTTCAAAAGAGCTAAAGAGATTAGGAAAGTATTAAGTTCCTTGACAGGCTTAAGGTGGTTGTAGATTCACAGGTCATGTCTGCAGTCTTGGGTCATTCTATCAGTACCTCAGAATTTAGTTGTGAGGGGTTGTATAGGCGTCTCAAAAATACTCATGCTCCACATTCACCTACCATTTTCATCCTCTCAGTGGCCATGCAGAAGGTTGTGTTCAAAACCAACACTGTTAAACAAGTCATGAAATGGTTGGAGAATGGATGAGAGTCTTTGCTTCTGTTGATAGTGCATAATTCCTTATATAGATGGATAGGAAGTAAAAATGCTTTTGAAAGGCACTTGGATGTTTTTAAGGATGCTAGTGAAACCATTCTTCATGGATTAAAGCATTTGTCTTTTCCCGAGAGAGATCTTCATGATGTATTATTCAACTTCTCTAGCTTTAGTACCAACAGCAAATCCAACATTAGGCATTGTTAACACAGTAATTACACTTTCCACTTCATAAACCAGCATGTCGTCATCTTGAGATCTGTGCCATCTGGAGGGCCAGCTGACAGCATAGTCACCTGGGATCTGGCAGGAAGCTGAGCTCCAATTGCATGTCTCATTCACATTGCATTATACAAACAAATAACAAATTTTGTCAAGCCATTCATACGGCCTTGTATTGAAAACAAATTTTGTCAATTAAACCATGAATGCTTATTCTTTAAAACAAGAAATGAATTATTCATGCTTTGAATAGTCCTTTTTCCAGACTCTGTATCTTCTCATCTAGAGTGACTAGAAGTAGCCTCGAATCCCCAAGCAAAGGAAGGCCTTGCATTTTGCTATTGTTTTGGTATTCCTATTAGAAAATAAGATTTTTAAAAGAACCTGCATAACTTCAGAACAGAAGCCACTTCTGAAACTGGAAAAAGAGTACACAGGCTGGATTATATATTCTAGATTATTATATTCTTTGTCAAATACAGATCTGGAAAATAATACACCCTGCCCTGAATCCCCCCTCAACTTTGCAATCTTCATGTCAATAACCAAAAAATTAACAAATACTACTGACAAGTTTGGAAAATTGTTCTAAGACAGTTTGACATTTCTGTTCATTTTTAATAACTACATGAAAAATTATGATGATAACTACTTCCAGTAGGATAAATGAATTAGTAACTATAAAAACAAAATCAGAGTCAGAATTTGTCAACTGATGGAACAGAAATGCTCTCCAGCATCAGCTGTTATTATGCACATTCTGGTAAAGCACTTCAATTTCTCTGCATATGCATAATTGTTTGTTCCTATAACTTAAGTCACTATGTGTTCTAAGTACTGGCTGTACTTATAAAATAATTGCACACAATGAATCTTTGCTTTAGAGTTCTAACTGATCAATGCCAGTAAAACCATTCTTACCTTTTCAAGCTTTAGTGAAGACCAACTAATTATTTCCAGCATTCCAGTAAATTCTGACCTTTTCCAAAAGCCTGCAAAACATCTGACACCTTAATTAAACATCAGGAACTACCACGACAAGTTAAATACTTGTGAAAGCAAGATTTCAGAACCAGGCAGGTCAGATTTGCATTACAGAGAGAGCTCTTCGCTGGGATTGGAATTTGGACACAAATGAGTAGGCAGAGGCATGCTTTGTACAAACATACCACCCAGAAGAAACCAAGCCAAGGCACTAGCATTTTTGCCCGCACATATGCGGCTTCATCAGGAATTCTGTGAGCACAGTGATGTTGGTTGTGACTTAACTGTTTACCCTAGGGAACAGAAATTACAGATAAAGATACTGTAATTTTCCCACTGTCATCCACATCACATGCAAGCATTTCTCTTGGCCAAGGAGATGACTTTCTCTGCAGAATTCTGCAGAAGTTTTGGGTAAGGCGGTCTGCTGACATCTTGCACTCCCCTCTGATTCTCAGTGATATGATTTAGGTATAATTGCTTTTCCAGCCCTTGAGCAACCCAAGCTCTAAGGCTTCAAGGCCACAAAAGAGGTGAGACTGATTACTTATTCTCTTACAGCAATGGCTCTGCAACACAGAGCTTGCACTCTTTACAATGATCCTGTATAATGACTTTATTTCTTAGCATAAGGATTTTCTTCCTTGACATGCTACTGTGATTCAAATTCCTCTTGGAAAGGGGGTGGAGAGTGTGAAACATAAAAAAAAAAAATATAAAAATCACTGGGGTGAAAAGCAAGTATCACAACTTCTACAAATTGCTGGAAGCAAGCGGATGACTGTAATATGTTTTACCCAACATATCCATTACTGACTGCTCTTAGAGACAGCCCTAGGGAGCCATATGGTTCTCTGCACTGAGCCTGTAGCTCTATCTATACCAAGAGCTTATTTTAAGTGCAAGATGTTTTCAGTTAAGCAGCTATTATCCCAGAAATTATTCTACTTAACTCTGTTGAATACTAGAGTTCCTTGCTGAATCTTTTTAACCTGAAATTTCCCCCTCAAGGAAAGGAAAATGAGCAGTCTATTATGTTTTATTCAATTTAGGTAGGGGGAGGGAAGAAAAAAAAGGATCACTAAAACCGATAAAAAACATAGTGAATAGATGGGGATTTTTGTTTGCTTTTTGATTATGTGCACTATACAAGTCTAAAATTAATTCTTTAAGAGGAAGGGGCAAAAAGACAATCTAGTTATGTTACCAAATAGACATCTCTATTGCAGATTAGCACTTGGTGAATAAATAAGTCACAAAAAGACTCTCAACTGTAAGTTAAACATTCTGAAAACATTTAGTTATAGATGTGATAGAAAACAAACAGGAGAAGAAAAAAAATTCAGAGACCTCAGTCCTCCAATATATTCATTAATATTGACATTTCCTAAAATATTTATTCCACCAGCTCAGGCCTTACTTTCCCAATAAATAACTTTTGTGTTCCTAATCTTTCTTTGGCATCAAGACAAGCAAGATTACTCATTAAAAATAGAGAGGACTGCAGTCTTGGGCAGAAAGCAATCATTATATTAAACATTTACTCAATATTCAAATCAAGAGTAAGGCCTATAACAAGGCAGGTGCCAAAGAAACATGAAATACCATTGAAGTTCTTAAATTCCTTACAAGTTATTGATGGCTGACCTACTGTATGACTGAAAAAGCCAAATTGACTATTGACCCTGGATAATCTGGGCACAGATATACTAAGAATATCTCAGATGTTAGATCTAGTGATTTTTTTATCAGTGAGGACTGTGGTGGAGAAAGATTACTGGGGAGATTTAGAGAGAAGATGTGGAGAATTATTCTGGCAAATCCCAGAAGCCATTAGACCTTTTCACAGGTTAACTTTTACACTGTAACTAAAATCTGTCCAACACAGTGTACCATGGATGAGGGAGGGAAATCACATTACAGCCAGCTCTGCAAATTCCATTAAGACAGTCATTGCTTTACATTAATAGTGTCTATTCAAAGAAATAACTGTTTGGATAATGGATGAAAACAGCCTTAAATTACACTGAAGGTTTTTTATAGAGCTGTGATTTGCCACAGTAATTAAATTTTACAAGAAAAACCCACTACATTTTACAACAACTAGATGGCACTGTACAAATAAACTGTTTATCTGCTCATTAGACTGAGTTTTCTATTTAAGCAATTAGTTATATTTAGAAAAATAATTGCCAATCTTCATGAGAAGAATTTAAAATAGGATTTTTTTCTAAAAAGAGATCCTTTTCTAAAACAAAGGCTAAAATAAATCTCCTCTAATTTCAACTATTGACATAGAAATCTCAGCCTCACAGAACTCAATGGCAAAATTCCCAGGTAACTTAGGCAAAGCCAAGGTCTGATTCATGATGCCAGCATTCATTAGTGGGATTATATAAATTTCTCCAAACTTTGACTTCTTTTAGTCCCTCTACCCATCACTGTAGCACACCAATATAATATTTACAGCAAGAAACCCATTGACATTGTCCAAAACATAGTGGATTTTGATTATGCTCTCTTTCCAGCATAAGTAAGCAAGAATTCCATGTACTTCACTGGCAGTGTGGCTCAGCATTTTGTAAACTGCCCTTTAATAAGAAGGGGGACAACATAATGAATGAACCACCAGAAAGCCAATTTTCAAAAGCCTTCAAGGAGTAAACTGTACAATGGAACGGAGTGAAGTAAAGCTGGCACTTCTGAAAGGGCCAAGATTAGCTAACATTAGAAGTACTTCTTAAAAATAGAAATTCATTGTCTCTTATTTTTCATCCTTTGCTCTATTTTATATAGGTACGCATTTATGCATATAGTTTAAATTATTGCCTAGTGAGAAGTACAGCAGATATAAATGACAAGATCTGGTGCCTATGCACAGGACTTGTGGGAACCTTAACCAGCAGACAGTTCCCCTTAGAGTCATCCCTGACTAGTTTGTTAAGTGCTTGCCATCTTAAGCAGGGATGTTTTATTCCTTATTTGTTTTCAAGTTACATGCCGCAAAGCACAAAACATGCAGGAGGTAACCAGCCTCACATATTGTAACTCCTAACACACTGCCAAATAAAAAAGTTAAACTCCAGTCTAAAAAGAAAAAAAAAAAAAAAAAAACAAAACATCAATATAAAGCCTAGAAAGGTAAATAATGGCCTCAACCTAACGCTGCTTGATAAACCCAATCTCCTCACACAAGCCTGCTGTAGAGCTACACCAACCAGGTCCCCACAACAAGAAACAAATGAATGGGCTTTGTTGACAGCCCTGACTTTTGGGTACAGGAAGAAAATTCTTGCCAGAGTCAGAGGGAAATGTACCTCTCGGTGTCACAACCCTTATGAGAAAAACATAGGGCACCAAATTTGGAGAGCTAAAGCAAACAGGGAAACACAAAGGATTATTCATGGTACTGCTACATTTATATGAGCAGCTTATTTGCTCCACAGATGAATAAATATGGATCAATTTTAAGCAGAAAATCCTTGCTCACTCTATTTTTGCTCTAATCACTGTCAGTGGCAAGTTTCCCAGAAATATAAAGTCGACCTTTCTGAAGGTGCCACTAGTAATACTGCTGTCCCCAGGTACCCAATACCCAAAAGTCCCTCAATTGAGACAGTCATGCATATTGACAGACATGTAAGTTCAGTTCCTTCCTCTGCTTAACTAGATTTGGTCCCACAACCTATCTAGTCTCAAAAATGCAGTGATGCAGTGAAGTTTCTTGGCAAAGTCTCCTTTCAGTATCAATGCTTTGCCTTTATACTTGCTTACCTTCCCTAAACACACACAGAGTGTGGCATGCAGGCCAAAGTCTGTAGGGAAATAAATAACAGAATCAGTGGAGCAGAAAGTAAAAACCCTGTGTCCTACCTCAAGACCTCATCCTTGCCAGCAGGCTGAAAAGCTATTCTTCTCTTGTTCTACCTCATCAGCTATTTAATTTTATAGAAGATCAGACAGCTCTAACAGGAGGTTAGGATGTCCTCCTGAGCAGTGGAAGGACATTTGCTAGGTGGGTACTTTCACTGCAGAAGAGGACACAGCACAACAGATATATATACCTTAGTTGTGGAACAACTCATGCTGGTGCATTTGCAAGAGAAGACGCATCATGAAACCTGGGGTTTTACACCATCTTAGGACACAAAAATAGATTCAAATCTGTCTTGAGCAACTGCCTTTGATTTCTTTTTCTTCACCACACAACAGATACAGGAGTGGCAAGGGAGGAGGAACATAATTTATTCCCATAGCCCCACTCACAGGACCCAAACAGATTTCTGTAATGAAACAAAACTCAGCTGGGTCTGTTGAGATCTCACAGGAAAGCTGCAAGCCAAGGACTCTGAGTACACTGAACGCAGTTTTATGGGAAAGAACAGGCACAGGCCTGTGAGCTAGAAAGTTGCATCCGCATAGAGGCTACACAAAGGCTCAAAGAAACAGCTTGCCTCCTACCAGACAAACCACATAAGATCGCTTTGGTTCACTAATCCTTTTACAAACCATATGCTTTCAAATGCAAACACAGTGGATGTTTAAGGGGAACTCTGCTAAAAGTATCCATAAACCAAATACTTCCAGATATTATGCAGATTGCAAATTATTTGCATTTTGATTGACTAATCAGCTTCCTGAACAGAGCTCTCTATATGCTATGATTACTGTCTTGATTGGAATTCAGCTTTGCCAACCTCCTCTATTTTAGTAAATCTATACATTTATCTTGATTAACAAAGATTCTGGAGCTTTTTCTGTTGTTATGATTGCAGAATTGTTTTTCCTTTAAACCAAGTTAAAAAAAATTTAAAAAATTATGTGTTGTCCAAGATTCGTATGATCTTTTACTTGATTGTATTTAAAATAAAACAGTCATATTTAGGCTGGCAACTGCTGTGACACATTCACAGTTTGAAAGCCATCTAAAAGGTTTTATTTAAGAAGAGTGAATTTTCACTTCATGCTTGCTTCTGTTCTCAGCCCAATTCTGAAGGCCTTAGACTCA